AATAATGTGTGTTCACATATTAATACGGAGAAATGTAGGTTAACGGTATATTTTCTCCTTTATCAACCGGTTATAATTCACTACTAGATATAAGCTACTGTCGTTTTTTTAACAGGATAAGGGTAGCAAACGAGCACACAGTCCACCGGATGGTAAGTGGTTGCTGTGGCCCATAGGCATCTACCTATCCGTGACTATGAATCAAAATGCAGATTAGTTCTCGAATATGAAACAAAATCAGCGTTGTTATCTGTGAGAACTAAGATGGAATGCCTCGTTTCCAGTAAAAATGGTATCCGGTTCTCTAGACTCACCATACGAAACACTGCTATATTACGCTGGTATTTTCTAAAAGCACGGTCCTTCCCCGGTAGAGCCAACCAATTCGTCTACAACTATACCAGAAATATAGGTGCAGCATTACTCTAGCACGTAAAAACCACCACGTAAACGTGTCATTTCCATATATTAACGGTTATTGATATATTTAAATAAAGAAAATGGATACCTACTTTCAATTAAAATTTTTGTCTTTTGCAACACTTTCAGTTATTGGTCATATTATAACTTGGCCATATTTACCTATTTGTCATTTGGAAGCACAGAAAGTTTTATTAACAATTTTTTGTAGATCTATCCATGTAACATGAATGTACACACAGAATTTTTAATCTACAGAATTTTAAATCTTCATTATTTATCACCACATGATCGGGGTCTTAGTGAAAGTATCACTAAAGAAAGTTTTCAGCAACTAAATATTACTTTTACATTATGTTATCTTTTATACAGTCTTCTCTTATATCTGAGAGGTTTGAGGGCAATTAATCCACCACGCTGCTTCACTATTTATTGGCGGACTTAAATTCGAAATATTTTGTTTTTCGGATATTCTTACGATGTTTTCCTTCACCGGCAAGCTCGTAATAAATCATCATCGCTATTAACACTACTGTGACAATTATATTATATACCCTTTGATTTTAATTTAATAAGCAACTAATTATTTTTAAAAAACGGGCCAAGTGCGAGTCGGACTCGCTCACCGATGGTTCCGAACAAAGAGGTTTTTTTTTCGAACCAGTGGTAATTAAACAAAAGAGTGACTTTCAATAAGTATTATTTATAATCTATATTGAATAAAAACGTTTCTGTTTCTGTTTCTGTTTCAAATCCGTAGGTATATAGGCGGCATAAACGGCTGTATCTTTTAATTGCGTTGGCTTAGAATTTTGATTTTTTCACACCTTCAAGGGACAGTAAACTTGAGTATTTAATATGTTAATTTCAGCTTGATACCTTCACGCGTTCCTGAGAAAAAGGGTCTTGACAGACAGACAGACGGACAACAAAGTGATCCTATAAGGGTTCCGTTTTTTTCCTTTTGAGGTACGGAACCCTAAAAAAGAATAGTAATCAATAAATAAGTAAATAATGTTAATCAGACCGAATTTCTGCTGGCACGTAGCAGTGCGTGTACTTCTGTTATTCGGCCTGAAGGATATAGAGATCAAGTAAAATTACAAGGTATGAGGCATTACATCCTACTCCTCAGAGGTGGCAACGCATCTGTATTCAACCAAAGTTATCATACCAAAGGCGGAATTTAAGTTTGTTTGTGACTTAAATAATCTAAACAAAAAATACGAATAGAAGCAAGGATGCTTATCTTATAAAATAATATTAGTAAAGTACTTACTTCTCTTTTTTCTTAAGCCTGTTTGGATACTTCTACCGTTTTATCTATTCCTGCCAGCTACCATTAATGTCACTTGCAATTGTACTATCAATGTGTGCGTAATGCAATTCTATTGTTGTGTTGTGATGTTACATTCATAATTACTTGCATTAATTGCCGGTGTTCATAAAATTTTACATTTGATGAGGTAGAATAAAAACACTTTCGTCACATTTATGTTTTAAAAAAATCCTTTATATATATATTGAAATTATTTGTGTGTTTGGGTCCCTAGATGGTTTAGACTCACATTTGGAATCAGTAGGTCACGCTGTTGTCGAGATCAGAAACACGTACGAAACCGGGGAAATGGTTAGTTCTAATATAAATTATTTTTTTATCCCCTGGCGCTAATTATATTATATATTACATGTGTGACTGTAGCCCATAGATATCCACATTCACCATCGATTAAGCATGGAATGCAATTATTTCGTCACCACTGACGACTAAAATGGAATGCCGAGTACCAGTTAAAATAGTTTTTGATTCTTACAGTCACAACAGAATTATGCTGCTATTTATCGGTGGTACCTTATGGCACATACAGCTGTAGTGTGACTCTACCATGTAAGCTAACAAAAACTGAATGCAATGTATTACTTAATCTCTCTCTCTCTCTCTCTCCCTCCCTCTCTGTCTCTCTCTCCCTCTCTCTCCCTCCCTCTCTGTCTCTCTCTCTCTCTCTCTCTCTCTCTCTCTCTCTCTCTCTAAAATTAATTTCTTTTCATAAAATCACTAAAACATAACAGAATAAGAAAATGCCTATCGAGTAAAATATCTTACAAACCTTTTCATTATTTTACGTTAACATTTTCAGAAGATAATGTTTGGAAGTGTCGAAATGTCATTCGTTTAACGTAGGTTTAATCTCTAGAGACGTGACTTTTCATGTTCTCTGTAATACATGAAAAATCTTAACTTACATTGATACTTCATATTTGGTCATTTTGTTCTTTGTTTATGTTTACTATGACCAAGTAAAATGTTAGTAAAAGGGATTAAATTTTGTCATGTGTTGAAAAAGATTTAATTTATAATGCTACAGGCAAAACTGTATCCCAATCAAATCTACTTTTGACCGATGAAAACAGTTAAAAAACACTTTGTTACATATACACATTATAATTATGTACCGTAAACATACCAAAAATCAATTTAAAGATTTGTATTAAGTAAGCTAGCATTCATAGTTTCAGAAATATGAAGATTTAATAACTGATCCGCTTTCGTTGGTCGCTAGTTTAATTAAGTAGTGAAAATGTTGTGAACAGAGAAAAATCATTTAAAATGTGTCAACAACCGTTTTATTCAAGACTATATCTGATTATTTCCAAAATTATGAAATAACTTCGTTTATAAGAAGGTAAAATAATATTTAAAAAAATGATGTAGTAAGAGAATGTCTTTTCTTTTATTAAATATGTTATACTTCAAGGGTGGTCCTATTTAAATTTGATGAAATAATCCACCTCAAGGGTAGAGCCGTGGTAGCTCAGATGGTTAGCACTCGCTGTAAGTTTCATAGTACGCGAGTAACCCGGGTTCGATCCCCGCCGGCACCAATGAAATTGTTAATTGGAATTTTAAGTGCTGATTTACCACGTGCTCGGCGGTGAAGGAAAACATCGTGAGGAAACCTGCATGTCTGAGAAATAAAAAAAATTATCTCGAAGACATGTGAAGTTCGCCAACACGCATTGGGGCAGCGCGGCGGACATTTCCTTGCCCTAAAACACTCTCGGAAATGAGAGGAAGCCTGTGCCCAGCAGTGGGACGTATATAGGCTGCAACTTTACTTTTACTTTACTTAGGGTGGTAAAATTGGGGATGAAATTGATGAAACCAGTTGTTACCAATTTCATCGCGTTTAACTAACTTATTTTATATTTCCGACGTTTCGAATATTTTAAAGCACCTATGTTTGCTAGTGGTCCTTCACTGCTGGCCGGATGAGGAAGCTCAAGGTCGCTCAGCGAGCTATGGAGAGGGCTATGCTCGGAGTCTCTCTGCGTGATAAACTTAGGAATGAGGATATCCGCAGTAGAACCAGAGTAACCGACATAGCCCAACGGATTAGTAAGCTGAAGTGGCAATGGGCCGGCCATATAGCTCGAAGAACCGACAACCGATGGGGAAGAAAGGTTCTCGAGTGGCAGCCTCGTACCGGTAGGCGAAGTGTAGGGCGTCCCCCCACGAGATGGAGTGACGACCTGGTAAGACATGCAGGAAGTCGATGGATGCAGGTGGCTCAGGACCGTGCTTTGTGGCATTCTTTGGGGGAGTCCTATGTTCAGCAGTGGACTTGTGAAGGGCTGTAATGATGATGATGATGATGATGTTTGCTAGTGAGCTACCTTCAGTTTAACATTGATAATTTTTGGTTCGATCTACGCACAAAGAACCTATAATATCTTATCAAACACCTCAGTACCCCCGAGACCATTCCTGCTGTAAATGTAAAACTGTAACTGTAAAAACTAGTTATCATTCAAGCGTTTGCGTAAACATAAGAAATCATTCCCGGATGAAGTTTGTAATGTAACTACGTAGAGCTTAGTCCACTCTAAAGAGTCACAAATTAATCTTTTAAAAGTAATAATTGAATTTAAAAAAATTAATAAGATAATTTCTACGTATTTTAATAGCATCAAAGTCGGGGTTTAAATTTAAAATAACCTAAAAAAATATTATTCTTTTAAATTCTTTCAAGGCGGCAATCTTTGTAAAAGTTTAATTTTTATAATTAAACGAGTGGATTTATTATCCGAAGTTTTTTTTTTACTACACTGGTTAATTTTATATTTTATGCTTAAATCCTTAAAAATCTGATGGACAAAAAAGAGTTTTTACGATCGTTTTCAATATGAACTTTAACTGAACTCATTAAAACCCTTTTCTAAAGGGATGTTAATTTAGATGCGTACGTTCAACGAAAATGTTTTGATGATGACTCGCGTCCTAAGGTTTCTGTATAAACTTAATTATTTATGTAGATAGTTTATCCTTCCCAGGTATTGAATCCGAACAATCACTCTTACAAAAAGTTGAATCGGTTTGAAGGACAAACTAAACTCTGAAGTGCAGTCGATATATTATTTTCAATTATTATTGACGCCAAATCATTTTCAGACTTACATAATTAAAAGAGCAGGACAAAGTCTGTCGGGCTAGCTAGGTGCCTAACACATTATTAGAAATACACGGTTTAAACTATTCTATTCTATCTTATTTTATGCTTTGAATACAAAAATTAACTTACCGGTAATGGGTAAGGTGCTGGCCGATGAGCCATTGGTGAGAAGGAGGTCATGCGAGGCTCAGGAGCTGCCATGGGTGTACGTTCAGGCTGAGGTTGGGGCTGCGGTCTCAGTGGTAGACGCACTGGCCCTGACAGCGGGAATGCAAACACTTGCGATTGGGGCTCCGGGAATACCGGCATTTGTCTGCAACAATATCAACGAAGATCAGGTTTATTGAACATAAAGTTAAGAATCTTTAGTAACATTGTATTTATAAAGGGTTCCGCTTTTCAGTTGAATCTTTACCTTGTGCCTTGGACACTTACATCGAATTCCAACAATATTCCTTTAGGGCACGTAATCTTCATCATTATGGCCTATCAATTAGAAAACTGCAGGTTTTTGTTATTATGATTGATTTTTTTAATAGCGTATTGGTGATAAACTACACTAAGTAGACTTGTGTAAGTGGATGCAGTGGCCCAAAGACATCTACATTTACCCTCGGTTAAGAATCAAAATTCAAATCAGTTGTCACCCTTTAAGGATTAAAATGGAATGCCTCGTTTCCAGTAAAAAGGGTTTTCGGTTCTCTACACTCACGATACGAAACACAGTAGCATTAAGCTGCTATTTAACGCTGGTAATTCTATGAGAGCGTGGTCCTACGCCGGTCTACTTTCATGTTACAACCATAATATAGCTGCAGCGTGGCTCTACCGCGTATAAAGTGAGTACTACGAGTAGCTCTACCATGTAACACGTATGATTTGATAAAAAAAGACCTCAAACGAATTAATTATAACTAGATAAACCTCATACGACTTAAAATAAACTGTCCCTTTTTCTTTTCAAATCGAAACCCATCTTTTTCCTCTTTTTTTATAGGTATACTTGATTTTAAAAAGATTCGTGGTCTGGGTAACAGACAGCAACTAACATAGTTCAACAGATCAGTAAACTGAATGGCAATAGGTGATATAACACGAAGAACGGATTACCCATCGAGAAGAAAAATTCTCGAGTGGCAGGCTACTCGCAGACAACCAGTTAGTGCAGTATAGGACCGTTTCATATGTTATTCCTTTGAAGATGCCTATATTCCATGAATAAATATAAAACATTTTTTAACTATGTAAATGTAAATAAACCATTTAGAATCTTCACTCATTCTTTTTTTTATTTTCAACGGAAAATTTTAACTTTTTGTTGGGTACTATAATACGAAAATTAGTAAACATACATTAAAAAAAAATTAAATAACATCGTCGAAGCGTAAGTTAGTCTTACAAAAAACTGAGAGGAATAGGCTTAAGCTTTTTAAACCTGATATCTAATTAATATCAATGTAGAATATCAAATAAATACTAATTAAAAAGTTATCCTTGTTCGAAATTATTTAAAATGAAATGACAGAACTCATTTCTTTGAAGCTACCTCTAAGCGAGTTTAAAAGTGAAAATATTGCAAACAAGCTTATTACGAAAAAAAAACTCATCTCATAATATATTTTTTTAATAAGTATTCCTTGTAGAGAGATTATTTGTTTTTTATTTTACCGAAAGCCAAGGCTCCTTTGACGAAATAAAACGACGTGCACATTTGCAAAATAAATTTTCACTTCGGAACATAGCTTATTGGAAGAAGATTACTTTTATAGGAACTTAACGGATCTTCACAAAGCAATCTCATTTTAGCCGACTTCAAAACACGAGGAGATACGAGATAACTTCGTCGAAACCAGAACAGATTCAACTGATTCTTTTTTTAAATAGGTTTTAGGAATTTACGACTAAGGATGGAATAAATAGGAGATGAAGTTTTTGGTGTAACTATTTAGACGATAATTGTAATTGTTACTTTTTTTATTGGATTAGGGTAACAAACGAGCACAGAGTCCACCTGATGGTAAGTGGTTGCTGTGGCCCTTAGACATCTACGTACTCGTATGTCCTCGAATACGAATGAAAATGTAAATACGTGGTCACCCGTGAGGAGTAAGATGTAATGCCTCGTTTCCAGTAAAAAGGGTCTCCGGTTCTCTACACTCACCATACGAAACACTTATGTATGGTATTTTGTACTTGTAATATTCCTTTATCCACTCGTAAGGATTAATAAATAAAATTACTATGAAAAGCAAAAACCGATTTTTATGAACTAAAAGGTATAAAATAACATGTACATAAATTAATAACTTCTAAAGTCGGGGTTTCAATTCTTCTATGCACTATACATACATGTATACACGTGGTAGAGTCATGCTGCAGCTATATTAGTAGTATAGTTGTAGCACGAATGGGTCGGCTCGACCGGGGAAGGACTACCAGCGTCAAATAGCAGCTCAACACTGCTGTGTTTCGTATGGTGAGTGTAGAGAACCGGAGACCCTTTTTACTGGAAACGAGGCATGCCATCTTAGTCCTCACAGCTTGCAACGCATCTACATTTTGATTTGCAAACGAGGATAAATGTAGATGTCTATGGGCCACAGCAACCACTTACCGTCAGGTGGACTGTGTGCTCTTTTGTCACCATATACTAATCTTTTTAATTCTATGAAGTCGGCTTTTACTTTTGTTACATACAAGTTGTCTATACATATAAATAAAATTGAAGTGTCAGTCTGTAATATAGAAATAACTGGCTTTCTTTACGTTTAGGATGTTATTCGCATGCTAAGACATGAATAACCATTTTTTAAACTTTCGTCTGTCATTCCGGGATTTCTACGTAACCCTTTGAGCCCCGTCGGCCGTTGCGAATTGCATGCTATCAATTATTATAGCTTAAATTTGTTCCAACTACATTATATTACAAAGGCATGCAATATAATGTCACGGAAAAATACTAAAATTCTTTACACAAAGAGAAGCCATTTTTTTTATGACGTGCAATCGCGCAAGGGCTCGTAACCCCTCTATCTTTCATATTTAGGGTTAGTTATCAATTCTTAAAAAGGCATGCAGGAGAAAATGGGAGAATATTTTCTGTCACCATCTCCTAGTCTATTACGTTCGGAATGGCGGAATGATTGTTGTTAAACTTATTACTAGGCTATATTATTTTCCGAACAAAAGAGGTTTTTTTCTTGGTAAAGCGAAAAACTGTGAAAATAAAATGGTTTTAGATGCTTATCTTAAATCTAAATTACAGCACATCTAGATCAAATAAAGAGTAAATAATATAATTTTATACGTTATTTTGAGTCAGTATGGGACGATAGATTATCCGCCAAATGATCTTCTAGCTTAATCAGTCGGTAATCGAAATACCTCTAATGATTTTTGGTGTTATTGTTTTGTTGTATCGTAGGTTGTAGTTTATCTAACTTAATAAGGTTAACGTTAACGTTATAAGGTCATTTCGCTAGTGAGTTGTCGTTTTTGGACATTTTCAACCTAAGGTATTCTAATGGAAAGATTTTTAATTTCGTCTTACTTACCGCTGCAATTTAAATTGAAAAAAAAATGTCTTTATTGCAATGGTTTTTATTAAATTAAAAACAAATTTAGACTTATTTTTGTAATAATAATATTTTAATTAACGAATGATATTAGTTTGAGAATCACAGGCTAGTGTCTATATTATGTAACAAGTTGAATGGTTTCGTAAATTTAACATATCATTTAATATACTTTGTTTGTACTCCAAATCATGAACACGACCAAAACAATAATAAACGGTCATATCAAGGACGGCTAGCTAAACGTGATTTCTTTCCTAACAGCCTTTGAATGTACAGAAATAACAAGAGAGCAAAAACACAGTTTAACTTATTACTTATACTTTTTTATTAACTCGCTTTCGTGTATGTCTGTTCCGGTGTATTTTCTAATTGGTTTAAACTAACTACCCTCTGAGCTAGAAACTTGAAATTTTAAACATAGTTCAGCATCGGGTGACAATCTAACAATATTTTAAAAAATCAATGAATTTAACACCTACTGTTTAGTCCTACCTACTTTTTATAAATGTGGTACATTTTTTTTACATAATTCTCTTTATTTTATATTTTTCTATTTTACATAATTCGCACTCAGATCGTACTTAGTTTGGGATCCCTGTTATTTCCAGTGAACTGCAACTATTGTGTGCTATTACAAACTTTAGAAATAAATAAATAATATATTCAAAGACTACCTCCGGCCATGTATGTTCTGTACGTGGTAGAGCCATGCTGCAGCTATATTAGTAGTATAGTTTTAGCACGAATGGGTAGGCTCGACCGGGGAAGGACCACGCTCTTACAGAATACCAGCGTAAAATAGCAGCTTAACACTGCTGTGTTTCGTATGGTGAGTGTAGAGAACCGGAGACCCTTTTTACTGGAAGTAAAAAGGGTCTCAGGTTCTCTACACGGAAGGACTAAGATGGAATGCCTCTTGCATTCCATCTTAGTCCTCACGGGTGACAACGCATCTGCATTTTGATTCGCAAACGAGGATAAATGTAGATGTCTATGGGCCACAGCAACCACTTACCATCAGGTGGACTGTGTGCTCGTTTGTCATCCTATACTATAAAAAAATGTTGCATAATCATTTCCATACAAAACAGTGTAGTATGTAACTTTTAAAAGGGCCAACATGGCATTAAAACCATCAACATGAATTTATATCAATCTTCACTCCAAATTGTATAGTTTAAGTTAATTACCTCGATTCATCTCCTCCATGACAGATGATAGCAATTCTCTCTGTCTGTGTGTTGCGTGGAGCGAATGCACCAAGAATGTTGAAGGGGAAACGCCTTTCCATGGGCTCCTCGTGGCGTCTTTCCACAACGCAGTTCATGCGGCCTCTGTGAATTATAAATAAATCTAAAATGGGACTCTATGTTTTTAAATATATATGGCCATTTAAAAATGAATAATATGATATTCTCTATTTGATTAATCAGGGATTAGCAGGTAGTTTTACTGCGTTATTTTGTATCTTATCAATAAATGGTTTACACATGGAATATTTGCTGATTTCTTTTTCGGAACCGATCTGGATATTTTTAGTCCGACAATTTTATAATAACTATTCAACATTTGTTTGAAGCACGCTTATTTTACTGTCAATGAGATAAAATGTCTTTATTTATTCGATGTAAAAAAATAAAATATAATTTCATCAAACGTAATTTTTCTACTACTGTATAACAAAGAGGTTCATGTAAAGAGAAGAAACAGTGAAGGAAAATTTTCGCAGGTGTCCTCTTTTTTTATGATATTAGTAATAATAAATTGCTTTAGTATATTTCATATCAATGAGTTAATGTTCTGGTACGTCTACTCACTTCTGGTTGTTCGCCAAGAAAGCGCCAGCAAGCTCATCAAGATCGAACTGAATGGGCAACTTGAACATAGGCCTGATGGCGTCCAATTCATCCTCTTCGTCGGAGCCGTCTGATTCGGAGCTCTCGTTGCTACCCGAGTTTACTGAATCCGGCTTAGTATTGTCATCATCGATTTTCTGTAAGAACAAATCATGAGGTAATTCTAATATATTTAAATAATAGTGCATTATATATACTTTGACGGCTCCGTGGCGCAGTGGCTTAGCAATGAGTAGCTGCTCTGGGGGGCGCGGCTTCGAATCCCGCACGGACCAAGTATTTGTATGGCCTACAAATGATTGTTCCGGGTCTGGATGTTTGTCCTTGTGAAATTTGTGTTTGTAAACTGCCTCCACGATACAGGAGAGAATCCTAATGTGGTGGTAACATTTTTTTATAAAAAAAAATATGCCACTAACCGTGTAGTGGCGGTGTAAGAATATCCACTATCCCAAATTATCCCGTGGGTGTTGTAAGAGGGGACAGAGGGAAACAAATCAGGAGTGGGCTGCACCATCTTCCTAATAACGACTAAAAATAAAAATACTGCGGTTGTCAACCCACTCGCCAAGCATTGGTTGGAAAATATGAAACAATCTATGGGGGAGGTCTGTGTTCAGCAGTGGACTTTAATAGATTGTACGAGTAACGATAACATTATGTCGGTAATTAAGAGGCTGACCAAATTATCGGTTAACAAGAATTGTAAAAGTATCAAAAATAGGTTATCGCTTCTTTACGCTTGCTCTTTATGCTTAATACGTTTTCGTCGTATTTTAGTGTCACCTGTTTTATTTTAATTGAGTACAAACTTTTGCCATAATAAATGAATGCAAAACACGTCCGTATTTTGAATTCATTATTTTTTTACGTGGTAGAGCCATGCTGCAGCTATATTAATAATATAGTTGTAGCACGATTGGGCCGGCTCGACCGGGGAAGGACCACGCTCTCACAGAATACCAGCGTAAAATAGAAGCTTAGAAAATAGCGCTGCGGTGTTTCGTATGGTGAGTGTAGAGAACCGGAGACCCATTTTACTATAAAAGAGACATTCTATCTTAGTCCTCACGGCTGACAACGCATCTGCATTTTAATTCACAAACGAAGATAGATGTAGATGTCTATGGGCTATAGCAACCACTTAACATTAGGTGGACTGTGTGCTCGTTTGTCACCCTTATTCTATAAAAAAAATATCTATACTTGTATTTTCTTGTGTGGAACGGTAAAGAAATAGTATTCGGATCAAAAAGGCGAGAACTGACAACCAATAGAAAAGAAAGGTTGCCGAGTGAAGTAGAAGTGTCAGCTCCGTGCTAACAAGTGCAGTGTTTGACAAACCCTACTAGATGGAAAGACGACCTGATGGATGCTATATCCCATAGACGTCTACATCTATCCTCAATTAAGAATCGAAATGCGGATGCATTGTCACCCCTCAGGACTAAGATGGAATACCTCATTTACCCAAAAAGGTTCTCTGGTTCTCTACACTCAAACTTACTAGGAAATCTACTATATTGTTTATGTGTGTAATCTTAAACAAATGAAGCATTTATTTATTTATTTATTATTTAAGATGTAGTTACTATATTACAACACCATTTATAATTACATAAGCGTTCCTTGTACAGATAATGAACCTAAGTATTACATGTGAGATATTATATTAGAAAAAAAATAATTTGCAATTCCTAGTTATCAATTCCTAGTTATGAGTCACTGCCGCCCGATGCCGCCGTTGCCAAACATGCCATTCCTCACCACACCTCCTTTTCGCAAGTATCTTAATAAATACGGAATCGGTGAAAGTTTTTTTGTCAGTATATTATTGAAAAAACAAACAATACGATATTTTTATACTTATTCCTACCTTGACAAGTGTGTGTGAGTTCAGATTTTCTCTATTTTCAAAGCTCTAAATGCTACAGTCAAAGGTATTTTCACTACGTGCTACAGAGTTGTGTGCTACAAAATGTTAATGGGTTAATCTTTCCCAATATGCCACCTTCTAAAATCTGCTACTCTGGGCCACTGTCGTCTGCCCCCCCCCCCCTCACCCCTTGTACAAAGGCATGTATTAAATAGCGTGTAGCACTTAACAAATTGGTGTAAACAGCCAAACACATGAAACTCGAATATATCGTTCTGTGCTGTTTACTAGGGACAATCGCCTCGGACATCCTGCTCGAGACAATGCACCAGCGCACCATTGTTCCACCGCCCCCGATTTGTAAATATTGCCAGCATTCGGATAGATAGCTCATCGTTGATTCGACCTATTGAAAATTGTATGCGAATCTTATTTTCGCTTCTGCAAGGGGATAAACTGCGGTTTGATGCTATTATTACCAATAACAGCTTTTATATGTATTTTATTCGTATTTATGTGAGACAAGTGGTAAAATTAAAAAATTTATAAAACTTCTTCAATATAAATAAAATAAGAACATCATCAATGTAGTCAAACTCTTTATTAAGGATAACTCAAAACCTTCGGGTCCGATCTTGATCCTTAAAAACGATCAAAGCTTATATTTATATTCTCTATTCTCTACACTCACCATGAGAAACACAGAAGTGTTAAAGCTGCTATTTTACGCTGGTATTCTGTGAGAGCGTGGTCCTTCCTGGGTCGAGCCGACCCATTCATGCTACAACTATACTACTAATATAGCTGCAGCATGGCTCTACCACGTTAAAAAAGCAGCAAAGATTTATAGCCATAATCACCACACTTCGCAGACGGTTTAGCGGTAGTGATAGCAGATGTGCACTTTTGTTTATGCTCCCCAATGCTGGTAATAACAAACCGGAATAAAATATATCATATAGTGCGTGCAATGCACGTCATAAGAGTAAGCAATGTCAAAACGAAAAATAAAAGAAAAGAAAGTAGATGGGGCCACATTAAACGTGACTTCTCACGATTTTAATAATATCTTTATTATATGCGTACAATGATGAAAGATAATCACAAATGACGACAGCTTTCACATGCAGCGCAATTATAGGACGGGGGCGAGCGGAGCGAGGGACCGGTAGTCAACACTAGGTGCCACGAGCCAGTGAAAGCTATTTCGCTGTGATGTCATTACTTGCATAGACCACGCACCATTGCGTGCACTTTATCCCCGAGTATTTAAAACATTGTACTTTACGTAACAGCTTTGCAAATCCGTGTGCCGTATGGACACGAATTTGTAATTCTACGCTCTCGATTTACTGACTAAATGGCACAGCTACATAATGAAAGCCTTAATAATTTTTTATTTTTATATTTGGAGGTCAATTTTGACTAAAATTTGCAATAAAAAGATCGATAAATATATAAGACAGTTCATAGAGCAACACGGGCCACCAGCGGACCGGAGGGGAGTCGCCACAGTGTTTTTCCCCGATACAGAATTGTCCGACATTTTATGCAGGGGGAATCCGCGCACACAAAAACAATATTCTCAATCAAAGAAGTCTACAAATATGTTGCGATGCGAATAAGAGTTTGTGTAAGAGTTAAAAGAAAGGGAAAGACGAACACAAGCGGATGACGCGTATGCTATATAGAAACACCGCCTTGTCTAGTCATGCGGTTCGTCACAGAGATGGAGATTCCTCAAAAAAGTTTTTTGATGTTTTTTTAAGATCTACCGACAGTAGACTTAAAGAAATGTCCGGAAGATTTTGTGCCTCTAACAGCGGTCTTACCATTGTGTGTATACCAGACAGATGGTGGCGTTAATGGTTCGCTCACCAATCGCATAGCGACTATATCAATCCTCTCTACTGTGGAAGAGACCCATGTTAACGGTTAACTATTACAGGCTGTTTAGACGATTGGTACTGACATAGCATTAAGCAGTTTCTATGCAATATTATGTGATCTTATAACATACAACCTAGTCTTGTAACTGTACAGAATCATCAAAGTACTTGCAAAACACAGAATTCTCCTAAAGCAATTGCTATATAACCACATCATATAAGGAAGCTTCAAGAGAAATCATGCCCATCCATTTCCTGACCTGTGCAATATGCGCCAATAGTTTGATTGGTCTATAACTAACGTTTATCTCTACTACAACGGTTACTTTCGAATATCTTTTGCATTATTCACAGTACTTTCTCCTAACTAAAGATGGTGATGACCTTTTGATCGCGAGAATGAATGGAGTATAAGATATTATAAAGGTCTAATACGGATTTTAAATTAACAAAAAATAATAAATACAAAAATTTCCTTGTGTTTGTTTCTTATTCATATTAAAGAAAATTTTATTACATTAAAAAAACATTTATGTGTCATCCATTCCTAGCAATATATCAATACAAAATAAGAAAAACTAAATGTGTTTATACCTCTTTCTATACCTTATATTGCGAGGCAATTATTTTTGACATGTACCATTAGAAAGAAATACAAACTCGTATAATGTATCTTACCTGTAATTTTTCTTCGTCGATTTTGGATTCGGCGTGGTTTAAAGCATCTTCTTTAACCTGGTTATCAGAAGCGGGAGCTGGTTGCGAGTGCGCAGACGAGCTTGAAGACTCTGGGCTTGAATGCTGCGGGGGTTCCGCGTGCAGCGCATGTGCGTTGGCTATCGGCAAGAGTTCATCCTAAAAGAATATAAATTAAAAAATTTAAACCACTAACAATATTTAATCGTTATTATTTATAATAAATAAACAACGCTAAATGCATTCTTGTATAATTTATGGTGGGTATAACTAACATACATTACTTGAGCTTTTACATTTTTTACAGTTTAGATATTGTTAAATTAAAAATAACACTATATATTGTCTATTCTCAACTTATATTCATTTTCATGGATGAATTTACTATTTATTAACTTATGTTAGGTTTACAAACTATCATTGCCTCTGGAAAAAGGAAAACTGTTGGGAAGTTACAATAATCTTACTTATGAAGTGATTACCTACTCTATGTTATCATCTTCACAACATATAGAAATAAGTTTACCGTATCGGCTTATTTGGGAGCACTAATATTATTTATTTACTTATTTATTAATACAAAGCGATAGACATTTAATAACATTCGACGGTACAAAATAAACCCACTAAAATTTACAAAACATAATTGTGATAAGCAGGCCGTGTGTCTGCGGTCAGTGTTTGCAACCATATCAATTTAATGTTTTTCGATTTTATACTTTTCTTAATCTAAGTGAATTCATGACCTTCAACTTTTTTTGCGTTTTTGATTTATTAAATAAGAATTAAGTGTCGACTAATTTATTAGTGCGGGTAGTTTTAAATTAACCAGTGGTAAATTAAACAAAAGATTTTTATCTATAACTAGCCAAAGTAACTAAATTCTTAAAATTTATTTATCTTCTTTCTTACTAAAGTATTACAAACTCGTGTCAGGTGTGCGTTTACGCCAATCTCCAAAACCGCTTAACTGATTTTAATGAAAATTTGTAAATATGCATTGCATGCCCCAACTTGAGAGTTAGGATAGTTTTTATCCCGATAAGTGACCCTCCATATTTTTATTGCGAATTTACGGATTTTATATGGGCAGTTCAACGTCTGGCTGGTCAACTAGTAATTTTATATATTATAATACTATATGTATGCAAAATTACATATCATATAAAATTTTACATACGTATTATGACAAATTACATATCATATACTTAACATTACATACTTAGACATAATATTGCACAGTGACACAGAAAAATGGTGCTAAGCCAACACCGCTCACTTTTACAGAAAAACCACCGTGATACTCGTCGTAAAATGGCGGACGCCTACAGACGGCCATCTCACTTACGTAACTTTAAAGACATGCAGTATATTTACGAACTTGTACAATGTTGTAACTTTTCCTTATTGTTTAAGTCAGTTGATAGATTCCCACTGAATTATGACGAAATCTTTACAACACGACAAACGAGCACACAGCCCACCTGATGGTAAGTGGTTGCTGTGGGTCATAGACATCTACATCTAAGCTTGACTACGAATCAAAATGCTGATGCGTTGTCACCCATGAGAACTAAGATGGAGCAGCATTAAGCTGCTATTTTACGCTGGTATTCTGTGAGAGCGTGGTCCTTCCCCGGTCGACCCATTCGTGCTTCAACTATACAACTAATACATGTAGCTGCAGCATGGCTCTACCACATACAAAATTTAATAACTAAAAGTGGAAAAATAGATCATGAAGTTTGTAATGAATTTATACAACACCCCTTTGTTACCTTAAACTTGGGATATTCCTTAGTTAGTCTACTCAAAATGATAAAATATTCAAACTTAAAAAAAAAAAGTAGAAACCGACTTTAAAAAATGACTAAATATAAATTATTTCCACAGCTTCTGAAGTCGGAAATTTAATTCTTCGATACACTATGATTTAGCACCAATTTCAGAAACAATTATGTGATATTTTTTGACGTCGGTTTTTCCTTTTTTAAAGTTTTATTATGTTTATAGTCTGTTACATCACAGTTGTTTAAAACAAGTAAGCGCTTCTGAATTATTGTCGTGATGTAAATCCTGCCCAAACGATAAATAAGAACTTTCGATAGTATTCGTTTGTTGACGCTTGTGTCGCAATATTTATAAACATCCACAAATACGAAATAACTTTCAATTATTTTAAAACGAAAATGTTAAATGTACAATAGTACTATTAAAGCAATATCTTTTGAACTAGATTTGTAGAGGTTTTTCAATTTTATTTAATTATTTTTAATTTAATCGATCCACATTTGGACACACTTTTGCCTATATTTTACCAATTTAATGCCTGTAAATTAAAAAAAAATTGTTTTATAAATAACCGGATTTAAATAAAAAACTGTCGTGAAATAGTGTCAACAAACATCGAGCAGCCAAGCGAAGAATGTTCGTAGCCGCAACTGATAGAAAACGCCGATTACGTTGCCGGCACAATTGTCGCATTGTGCGCTACGCCTACAACACTTTTACCAGATTTACGAAACCATTTTAAACGATTATTGTCGTTATTACCTCTAGAGTAGAACGTTGCGTTATAACAAGGAAATCGCCTAGAAGGTGCAATAGAAAAATGTCGGCTTAAAAAATTAGGCTAGCTTGTGGCTTCCCGTTGGTTTCAGATATTATGTTACAGCCAACTTTTGAATATTTTATTTGTTTTATAATATTAATAAGATTTTAAAACGGTTAAAAGAAACTTTTTATACAATGGCTAGACGTATAATTACTATTTTCTTAGAATAAGCAACATTTACCATTCGTTCACAGAACCGGTGTGCTCATAATTCGAACTAAATGTCATAATATCTAAATTAGTGCATTATTAATATTTAAGAAAACAGCAAATAACACTTTTATAAAAGTTGATTGATAAACTAGTAAACAGCACAACCAATTGTAAGTGGATGCCGCGGTCAATGGACTTTTATGTCTATCCTCGATTAAAAATCAAAATGCAGATACGTAAAAAGGTTTTTCAAAGTAAAGGATGAAAAATTAAAACTCATATTTAAAAAGGCAAGATATAATATTTAACTTATATGATTTTGTTTCATTGCGTTTGATTAATTAAGCCACATGTCTGTTTCTGAAACGGATACTGGTTTTGAACCGATACCGTTTAAAAACTAACAAAAACTTGATTTCGTATCATAAGCATCAAATTATTTAATGCCTGGGCAACCGAATTTTGCTCCGCGTTGGAATGGATTTTTTTACACAGTGATGACACTTATCTAGATCATGCTCGTTTTAATGCTTGTTCGATTTTATCTTTAAATTGTAATACAAAATAATACTTAATGGTATTTAAAGTATTGTGTTAGTTTTAATCCATTTTATCGTTGTTTGTCTTTAATTTTATATATCAGTACTGTTTTGTCTCATCGTTATTTCTTTTTGTTATGTTGTGCATGCTGTGGCTACCTGTAAGTGGGATTTGTACTTAGTCGTATGTAAAATTTGTTCTTCACACATGCATATTGCATTCAACATGCATCTTCTTGGTGGTCCAAAATAAATCAATTAATTAATTAATCTATCTAACTACCTACCATGGTCTTCTTTAAATCTTCAAATAAACTCGAATATATAATAAAAACCAGAAAGTAATATTAAAAAAGTTTTCAAGGCAATAATTAAAACTAATATAATACCTATAAATTACAAGTATCAGTACGTTATTTTATTTTTGTAAGTTTTTTGTATTTCAAATAAATTTCCTTCTTAACAAAAGTGTTGTGAATGACTTTATTCAATACTAGTAATCCGCCCCGGCAACACATGGGTAACACTTAGTATCTCTGTTTGGATGACCTGTTCCTATTCCTAGTCGTTATGTCGCTGATACAAACATCTTGTACGCTCGGCTATCAGTAGCGACGTACTCGAACCTAGAGTTCAAGTATACAGTCTCTGTTGAGGATGCCCAGAGTCAATTTATGGCTAATAAAACACTTGATTTTCCGACTTTATTGATAAATATCATCTATAACATTAGCTACCTTATTTGCTAAAACATTCATAAATTATAGACCTAAACCTACTTCGTGAATTAGTCAGTCTTTTGGTGAAAACCAAATGAATACACATACATTAATTTCTAAGATTAGCGCGAACATACAGACAAACGCAGCGGTGGTCTCGAATTTATAATTTTTAGAGATATATAGATATCGTACATCAATTATTATTATTCTATGTATTAAACGGTATAAAATTAGACCTATCATCGAATTAACCTTTGCTCTTCGCGAGATACTGTCATTAGCTAAGCCTATATCGCTATGCTTGCTCACCCTTTCGGGAAAGAAAATAGTCATATTTCTTTTCTCCTCCGGCGACACAAGTCGTGGAAACAGAATCAACCTTAAATTTTAAAATAACCGTGACAAATTCTAATAAATTTTACTGTAAATGTAAATCTTAAGTGATGATTTACCAAGTGCTTGGCGGTGAAAGAAAACATCGTGAGGAAACCTGCATGTCTAGGGAATATAATATGAGGAGGCAAGTGAAGTCGACCAGCACGCACTGAAGCAGCGTGGCGGCAAGTTGCTCAATAACTCAGAAAAGAGAAGAGTAAGAGCCTTCGCACAACAGTGTGACGTTTATTAAACTACAACTTTTCTTTTTTACCATAAAAACACTATTTATTAACTCCAGCGCTCTCAAATTATAGGTCTACATATTTCAGATAAATTTTATAGTTATTTAAAAACATAACAAATAGTAAAGTTGCAGCCTATTTACGTCCCACTGTTGGGCACAGGCCTCCTCTTATTTCTGAGAGGGTTTTAGGGCAAGGAAATGTCCGCCGCGCTGCCCCAATGCGTGTTGGCAAACTTCACATGTCTTCGAAATATTTTTTTTAATTTCTCAGACATGCAGGTTTCCTCACGATGTTTTCCTTCACCGCCGAGCACGTGGTAAATCAGCACTTAAAATTGCAATTAACAATTTCATTGGTGCCGGCGGGGATCGAACCCGGGTTGCTCGAGTACTATGAAGCTTACAGCGAGCGCTAACCATCTGAGCTACTACAGCTCTTATTCTTATTAACAAATATTAATGTATGTATATTACGTGTTTGAACACTGTTTTATTACCAAAAATACCCA